AAGGCTCAAAGGTGAGGCTTCACATTTACGAGAAGGACGTCAGCAGGAACTCAACTCACTATTAACATCAGCAACAAGTAGGAGCTACGGCATCAAGAAACGCGACGCCGCGAACAGACAAGAACCCACAATTGAATCCAAATAAGGCGCTTCTGCGCCTAGGTTATACAAAGCGGACTCATGCAATGTTTCCTTTGCTAACGCGTTCAAAAACAAAATTAAATTTTTTCATATAATAACACATTGTTAATACATTTTTATTATTTTTTTAAAAACGCAAAAGGGTTGTTTTCGTTTTTAAGTTTGCTAGCTATAGTGGGTTAGTTATTTGGGCAAGCAAAGTAGCCTTATTCAATTCGGTGTTCTCGGCATTTGCTCCTGTTTTGGTAGGTGTTGGAAATATTTTAGTGTTATTTTGTTCTTTGAAGTGCAGCACATTTTTTAGTCAAAATAATAATGACAAATTAATTGTTGCAGTAACACAGACTTTCGTTCAAATGTGGCGCTAAGGTTGCGAGGTCGCCAAATGATGGCTACTTCGGTTAGCAAGCATTCCTTGAGCAGATTTGTACCATATTTAGTGCGTAGGTCTGCGTTTAATGGTTGTGACTTTTTTGAGGCTACATGTTACCTGTCACCTTTTTTCTCGACAGCTGAAGTAGAGAATTTGCCTTTCTTTTTTGCGACTGTTTCTGGCATACTTTTTGGTCACCATGATGTTGGTTTACATGTGACTTGCCAATTTTGGTTGTTTTGTCTTATTATGTACTTGTTGGTCGCTTTCTGATCCTGAGTTATTACTGAGGTTGCTCTGGATATGTAAATGCCTGCGCGCACAGTACAACACTTTGTGATACACGTAGCCGCACCCGAAACAACGGCGACTGTAATTGCAATTTACTTACTGCCTCACATTCACTGCTGCAAAATTGTGCGACAATAAAGACGTCATGAGTGTGACGAGGACCCACTCGCACCGTAGAGTGCTTTGGCTTATAATGAAACGGCTTTCGATTTATTATCTATTTGTCAACCAAACGGGTGAATGTTCACCTTCTTGCTATGAATGAACAGTGTCTTTTGC